CCCTGCTATGGATGCTCATACCAAACAGGTCTGCCTGCCTGCCTGCCGTCAGGGCAGGATTTCAATTTTGTGACTGGCCAGTTAACCTGGGGTTTTGCTTTGTCTTCCCCGCTCCCCTGCCAGGCAGGAGATCTTGGTGCAACTGCCAGGTTCGATTTGCAGGATCTCATTTGCAATTCTGGACGGAGTTCAGAGCCGTGGGGATGGGAGGCCCTCATGCCTCCTAAACCGATTAGCCCCTGATGTTGATGGGCATGGAGGACAGCCATTCCCCACTGGATTGTAAAGCACCGACAGATACCGAAGTGTCTGGGGCTGCAAGACAGGGCATTGCTCATTGCCCTCTGGCTCTGGACAGAAGGAACAAATGTGACCCCCATCTCTGATCTTTTCATTTCAGTGCTAACACAGCATCAAAACCACACACTCAGCTTGCAAGTTCTGGACCAGCGTGGGAGCACTGCAGCAGCCCAGGCTATCCTGGGAATCTGTGCACGCATCGCGAGCAAACCAGAGTGATTGCCAGTGTGCTACAGTAATAAATTTGCCTCGCCACAATCTGACAGGCTACCATATAAAACTAGTAGTCTTTGCAAAGTCTAATGGTCAGCAAGCAGACAGTGGTTATGGGACATGCAACGTTCCCAGGCTCGAGCGATGGGGGGAAGACAGAGCAGCCTGTACTGGCTGAAGTGCTACTAATAGTCACTGGGGGGATATGAAGTTGATAAGCAAAGACAGACCGATGTGATGGTGCTTAAAGGTCAGGCCAGGGGGCTTGGGGTGGCTTGTCACAGCGAAATGCTTCCTAGCATTCTTGCAGCCACTGTTTTAAGCAATGCCAGCTACATTCACTGCAATTCAATTACAGTCTATAAAAGACAGGAGTAAATCTACTCCTCAGTTCAAGCGCTGACACTGCTTCTTCAAACCTGCCCCTTCCACAGTTCCCGAGCGTCAGCCGCCGTCGCTGCCGCGGACACCCCGGGCCAGCTCTGCCCGTCCTGCTCCACCTCCTGACGCCCAAGGCCAAGGCATTGCTCAACGCCCTCTCTTTTGTAATGCTGCCACTTCCCTCCCCATCCCGCAACACGCTGCCCATCTTCTTCCACCTCCACAGATGGCCACATCCTGCCCTTCCTGTTTCGCTCATCTACCTCCTAAACATTGCCTAAAACCTCCTCTGGCTGTTGAGGAGAAGGGCCTGAACTGCAGGCTTTGGGGAGTGGTTGGTTACCACTGTAGGGACAAAAATGGTACCATACTTCACACATACGTACGTACGTATAGATATGCACACACTCCTTGTCCCCATCCAGGACCACGTCCAGCACTCACTCCAGCGCCGGAGGGACCATACTATATATCAGACACATGCTCATTTTCACACGTTTGGAGTACACGTCATGCAGCATCTTGTCATCTGTTCCCAAGCTGTCTGCCTTCACAAATTTCATTTGCCTCGCTCCTTCAGCCGAACGATTTTCAACTGGCCTTATCTCCTCTCCAAAACCACATCTGAGACACCATCCTCACCGCTTGAGTTACTTGAACCTGCCCCAAACACAGCACGGGAGGCTACCACGGGGCACGCTTCGCATACATGCTGAGGCAGAAGGACTTCAGATAACAACCCCCAAATACTTGAGAAAATGAACAAAAAAAAAAAGGATAGGAAGTTTAAGTGCCCCAGTGCTGAAGCTGCTTACAGTCTCCTGTGTCCACGTTACGGTGCGACTAATTTGCTTCTGCAGCAAATTTCACTCCGGTTTTAGTCCTGAGAATCTTGCGCCCACCCCACACCTTCCCGCTGCAGAGCAAACTCCCACCTATGCCTCCTCCCCGAGTGCTTCACTGAATATATATATATAGCCTTATCACAGAGATAAAGCAGAGCAGATGGTTAGGGTTAAAGACACAAAAGGGACAAAATGTGTTTCCAGATAAGATTTGAACTGAAGCAGCAAACAGGGCAAGGAAAACAGAGGGGCCCCAGAAAAGGTCCCATCTCACTAAGGAGTCAGACCCCTTGAGAGGTGGGCAGAGAAAAGAAAGTACATGAGAGCTCAGGCCCGGTTTACACTTACTCTGAATGGAGGCTATTACCAGAGGAGCAACCAGTGACACAGCTGAGCTCACAGCAGCAGCTGGCCACCACCAGAAACGTGCAGGGTGTGTTACAAACATCTCAGGTTGCTCCTAAGGCAAGGTCAATAAAAACAAGTGTCACGAGACACAGGAAGGAGGGAGAAGACAAGGGAAGTTGTTAAAGTATAAAGGTTCTAAGAGCTGCTTGTTCTTCCTGGGGCTCTGGATCTGTCCTGGAGAGAAAGAAGTACATTTGGAGGAAGACTGCAAAAGCTACGGCCCATGGCACCCCGGCCAGGGAAGTCACTCCAGCAGATCACAAGAGAAGAAGACGTGCAGAGACTGCCAGGAAAAGAAAACAGAAACCAGTTATGAAGCCGGGGCGCTCCGTATAAACAGTATGAAACACTTGGGGGTCTGCTTATGAGAGGCTGAGGACAGAAGATTTTCCAAGCACAGATTTGGCGAGTCTAAGCCCCCAACGCCTGTAAGTGTGAGTGGATGGACGAAAAAATAAAGAAAAAAAACCAAAAAAACCCCAACTACCAAACAGGCTTGTAACTTTTTTAAACGCAGAGGGGCCAGTAAGGACAGCAGAGGGATGCAGAACTATTTTTTCTCCTCTGTCAGCTCAGCTCAGTCATTCGTACAAACCTGCACTTCTCTAGACAGGGTTACTTGAACGGATTTCATCGGAAAGGCTATGGAAGTTGTGTCCCTTAAAGCACGGTTTTGAGAGACGTACGTACAAGGCGGGGGGGCAGCGATGCCACTTTCCTTTCATATTCGAGAGAGCAATAAAAGCCTTTTTTTTTTTTTTTTCTTTGCTTGAGAAGAGAAAAGCCCTCCACCTCCCCAAACGTTTCACTGCCAGCTTTCTGCGCCTGTGAAACCTGCCTACGAAACGCGACGCTCCGAAATCGCAGGCAAGCCCCAGGGCCGGTAA